AGCGGAGGCTACGGCTACGCAGGCCTCGAAGGGCGCGAGGACTGGCCGGGCGTGAGCGACGCCCTCGTCTCCTACACCGCCGCCGCCGCCGCCGCCGCCTCGCCCATTCCCGCGCCGCAGCACTTCTACACACAGGTAGGTTGGCTTTGCTGGTTGGTCGCGCTTTTAGTGCTGTTGCTGAGGTACAACTCTTATTGTAGTAAGCAGTAGGATTCGCATTGTTATTATTTTTGCTTACTGTTGATAAGAATGCACAAGTATTATGAGAGGCAGTGGCACCCGCGAAACAGGGCGAGAGCCTAACCCGCGCCCGACGTGTTCCCGCAGAACGATGGCGTGATGACGGAGCTGGGCGGTGTGAATGGTCATGCTGGCACGCCCGTGGGCGGCTACCCTCCGTCCTCCGTACCTCAGAGCACGCCCACAGCCTCCTTGCCGCCCACGCCACACCACCCGGGCCCACACGCCGCCCACCGCCCCGTGGACCTGTCGCAGGCGCAGCGTGAGGCGCAACCCCCGCCCACGCCCACCATTCCCTACCCACTGCACGACCCGCACACCCACCGCCCCACACTGCTCGACACAGGTAAGTCTCGACGCCCGGAGGAGGGGGCGGGAGGGGGAGGGGGAAAGGGGGGGCAAACGTCCCTCCCTCATCCTGTGATATATCCCTCAGGGTGACCCCCCCTACCCCCGCTCTGCCTATCCTCTATTCAGTATAAAAGAATCTCATTCCATGTCTCATTGCACCGTCAACTTTGAACTCTCTTGAACTCGTAGCTAATACATTGCTATCTTTTTAATTAATCTAGACCTAACCGGTAGACCTTTTCTCGTATGTCTTCCCACTCATATTAAACCCCGACATCTTCTTTTCTGAATTTGTGTGAGATGAAAAAAAATATATAATTCCAGACCTCAAAGAAGTTCGTGCATAGCCTATACGTTAGCCATGCCCGATTGACATTTTGTTCGTTTGTTTGTTTGTTTATGTTAAAGAGTCTTGGAATGCTCAGTCAAGTTCCTTCCTCTCTTTCATGCTCCTGCCAGTCAGTCAGGTAAGTTTTTCTATGACTGAGTGAGTTTTTTCAGTGAGTTGAGGTCGGTGGTTGAGTCTGTGAGGTGAGATTAGTGGGTGTGAGTCAGAGAGTTGATATCAGGGCGTGTGAGTCAGTGAGTTGAGGTCAGTGCGTGTGAGTCAGTGAGTTGAGGTCAGTGCGTGCGTGAGTCAGTGCGTTGAATCGGTGAGTCAAGATGTCCGCGTTTCAACGTTCGAGTGAGCTGGTGCAGGTACCCATGTTATTTCTAAAGCTCCCCCTTGTTCCTGTTACCTTACCTCTTTGTTTAATTTGGCGTGAGGAGGTGGGGTGGGCGTGGTGATTGGGGGAGGAGAGGGAGGGGAGGGGGATGACACGAAGACGACACGTCACTGTTTCGTCATCATCGTGATCCCCCCCCCCTCTCGCTCTCATGACCACCCCCTACCCCCTCTTCCTCATGACGACCAGGCCGTAGGAGCGCCACGACGACCACGCGAGAAGCACGCTAGTCGAATGGGACCTCCCCCCCCCCCATTCCACCATCTCG